AGTTCGAACCCCAAAAAATCACGTTGAAAAAAACTGACTCAAAATTCGCAATATGGGCAACTGATTTCTCCTCTCAGCTTCCTGGCTCAGTCCTAGTAGTGAAACTCTGCAAATCTTTGGTTGCTCAAATTCCTCACAGTTCCTGATTCGATCCTAAGCCCCAACCATCAAAATTCGTTACTTTAAATCCATCCAAAAACAAGCCCCAAACAGTCCTGCAAAGCGGGTTGCCCACAAGAGAGCGGGCCTGATCCTTTTTAAGGGGCACTGTTTGGGTACCATGTTTAATGTCCAGTCTTAGGCGTGGGTGGGTTAGAATCTCCAGGTCACATCTTAGCCTCTTGCTTTTAAAAGGGGCTCCAAATCTAAAAGCTTAGCAAGGGACCAGGCCAAGACCTGAGCCTAAGAATTCCTGATTTGATCCCAAGCCCCAACCAGCAAAATTCTTTACTTAAATCCATCCAAAAACAAGCCCCAAACAGTCCTGCAAAGGGGGTTGCCCACAAGGGGGCCTGATCCTCTTTAAGGGGCACTGTTTGGGTACCATGTTTAATGTCCAGTCTTAGGGTGGCAACCCAAAGGAAGTGCTGGCAATACTAAACCAAGTAGCGGCAGCCCAAAAGGAAGTGCTGGCAATACTAAACTAAGTAGTGGCAACCCAACAGGAAGTGCTGGCAATACTAAACCAAGTAGTGGCAATCCAAAAGGAAGTGCTGGCAATTCAAGTCACCCAAGCCCCCCGCCAAATCCGTATTCAGGATCCCCAGGACTGTTTTTGACTGTTCCAGCGGGGGGCCCACAGTAAACAAGGTCCAACATTAATGTCAATTCGCTTTCCGGAAAGCAAAAAGTGAGTCAAAGTACAGACTGATATCTGCCGAGCAGCAGCACACAGTGACCCTTCGCGACGCAAGAGCCAAATTTTCACCAGCAGCAACAGGCGCAGTCGGAAACTGAAAGAGATAAAGAAACGTGAAGAAGCAAACAACTCGTCACGCGCGATTCGAGGGGGAACCTCCGCATTCTTTCCAAGGATTCGTCTGTCCACCATCAAACACCCACGCGAAGCGGCTGGCTTTCAAAAAAAAGATGACAGAACAGAATGGGGAATCCACCCCTCGAATGATGGGTCATTTGCTTTTGCGTCTAGTCACCGAGCTCTAGCTCGATGAAACACTCAAATGGTCAAGCAGAGGGCGCTTTGAATCCAGACCTGTCAAAAGGTGACCTCGGCTCTGGCCACCAGCGCGGCAGGCTTTTCCGACTCAAGCCGCAAGCAATCGCAAGCATCTATCTTTGCGATTTCAACTGCAATTTGCATCTCCCATGGCTGAACAAGCAATGCTCGGCACTCCCCATTCGAGGAGCCCAAGTTCAGTGGCAGTGATTGGGCAAGTCAGTGCAACAAAATGTTGCAATAGGGGCGCATGGCTGTCACACTTCATCTGCCAAGGCGTGGCCCATACTCCCAACAAGGAAGCTCTGAATGGATTAATTCGTTTTTGCTATGTAGGTACATATCTCTGCCGCCGTGGCACCTGAATTAATTTGCCGTATCTCGCCTTCGGCGACATGAGGCAGTAGAAAACCTGCAGCCCCAACGGGGGGATGTAAACGCAAATGACGTGTCCTTAAATGGACAAACGTCGGTCTCGGGCAGTCCAACTGGTATCAAGGATATGGTGGCTATTGGTGCCTAATGCAAGCCGCCGAAAACATGTGTCCTTGCAGGGTCAGGAATAGGGTTGTCGGGTTGTCTCTATGCAGTTTAACCTCCTTAGAAACTCCACTCCCTAAGCCGCCGCCTTTTGCTCCTCCGGCTGTGCCTCTGGCTGTGCCTCCGGCTGTGCCTCTGACTGTGCCTCTGGCTGTGCCTCTGGCTGCGCCTCTTGCTGCACCTCTGGCACGTTCTCTGCAGGTCCTGACCCCTTTGCCTCGGCAAGAGTGGTCAACATAACGTGGCCGCAGCAAGCCCTGCTTCCACTCAATTCCGTGATCACAGGCTAAGCTTCAGACTTCGGGGGATTGTGCGAGACTTTCCCTGGGCACCGCTTGTAAACTGAAGCAAGGGACATCCTGTTCTTCACCTGCAAGTTGTCTCCTGACTGTTTGCCCATCTAGCCCGATGCTCAAAGCAAGCGCTAAATGATCCCCAACTGTCTCATGGTGCTTTGGTGAGTCACGTCATCTCCTTTACTACTGTAGATGATCATGAATGTGGACCATTGCTGAGGCTGGCTTTGTTGGGTAAGTTTGGTGTCAGCTCTCTTGTCCTGCGTCCTGCTTTGGGAAGCACCCAAATCTTCCAAACGAAGGGAATGCTCGAGGCGATTGCGGCCCCGCAGTCAAGCCACTGACTCCGACCAGCCGAATCTTCTTTCAGGTCCCAGTGCTTCTGCCGGCCACGGCGTGCCACTTCCAGAGCCTGACGCTCTCAACAGGTGAATGTGCCGCCATGAATGGCTATGCCTTGCCATGGCAGAATTCGCGTTCCAACCCA